ATGAGTCCCTCAGCTAGTGAAATCCTGACTGCTGTGCTTGCCTCTGGACAGGGCGGGAACCTGCCGGCTGCCCTATGGTAAGATTATAGAGGTAATTGCTCCCCGCTCGCTTGCAACACGGAGACGGGCCTAGGCAGACACTAAGCAGTTACACCAAGTTGGCCGTGGACAGTCGTAAGACCGTGAACCTTTTCAGAAGGGAGGGAGGAGGAGATGTATCATTTGGGGTCACGCGTCAACTGAACTATTGTAATTGTGCTGGGTCCCTGCTCCTATACCAGTATAGCAGAGATAATCTTCTGTAACTTTAAACTTGAATGAAACAGGTTTAAAGCAACCGGTGTTTGACCTTGGTGTAGAGCGGACAGAAGAAAGTTGCAGTGGGTCATCTGCTAAGCATTGTTATTTTGAAGCACTTGTTCATCTGAGTACGTCCAGGATCACTTTTGGTCACTTTGCGTTAGTTTAAGAGCCTCGATCGGGGGTTGCAACCGTACGATGGGAAGCTCCGTAGAGGTGGGTAATGCAGACGGTCTCGGCGATTCCCTTCCCCGTGTGATTCTGCTCCTGTATTGGGTCTGACACCGATGCCTTGGTGCCCATCTTTGGGATGCTGCTGCTGTGATGGCAGGTCTTGAGCCAGGGTGAGAGCCAATGTATTCCTGAAGTCCTGTAACGTGCACCGAGAGGGAAGATGGTGTTATCCAGAAGCTACGGGATCCAGCCAGATTTGGTTCTCTCTGGGATTTGCTCCGTCCTTGTGAGCTCAAAGCAAGGATGATGGCAATGAAGCTCCAGTCAGTCCTGGACAAGAGGGTTTGGGCGTTCGCTTGCAGATAGAGGCCAGTGAGCTTTGGGTTGATTTGGCCCTACATGACCGGTGGCTGGAAGACGCTTCCCGGCACCGCTTTCCAGGCATGAACAGATGTCACACTTGGCATAGAAAAAGCAAAAAGCAGCTGGCAGATGTTGCAAACCCCCTAACCAGAGGTGATTTTGCCCAGTCTGGTGGAGGCCTTTCCCATGAAAGAACTGGGTTCACATTGGTGTACAGAAACAGCCTAAATTAGACTGTACTGAGACGTGTCCATCTGTCTGTCCCCTTAGAGGCCATCACAGGCTTGCTAGGCTGTAGGATACCAGGTCCCCGGCTACATGGATTGCTGTATGGGTTATTATAACCATCTGCTTTTAAGTCTGAGTAAAAGAGACAGTGCCCTTTTTCTAGGGTGTAGAAAGAGAGGATCTTCACAGCCCGGCCACCACTCATCCACTTCTCTCTGTACCCCCACCCTCAGTCTTGTTCACCGCAACCACGCCAGGATTGCAGGCGGGTCTGTCGGAGCTGAACCGTAGTGTGCAAGCAGCCCATGTTGCCTGCTCCGAAGCCAGGCTGGTGCAAAACTGTCCTCCAGGAGGGTTCGCGATGACAAATGGGGTTTTCCATTAACAGAGCCAAGTATTTGGCCACTAACTTGTTAAGTGAACAAAACTCAAAATGTTATATGGAAAATCATGACCTTTTCCTCATGTGTGTCAATGTTTTCCATGGAGGGGGGAGTGGGACATCCCTTGCTCCAGATCCTCCTATGATGATGCAAGCCCCATGGGGGCCAGCCAGCTGTGGTGGCTGGTGTAAAGGAGCAGGGCTTTGTCTTCTCCATGCTTCGCCCTTCCCCATCGGTAGCACTGGCCTTCTGTAGTCTTGTGCGCAGGTGAATGATGCTTGCATGGTCACTGTGTGTGCACCTCACTTCCCATGATACTGTCCCAGGGGAGCTGTCAGTGTATCCCATGGTGCTGCCTGCCCTTCATCCCAAGTCCTCCTCCCAGGCCGTTTCCCCGCTTCTCCACCGTTCTCGCCTTTCTTATCCCATTCCTTGCCTTGCAGTGTGTGACCTGCGGGAAAGGGTTTAAGAAGCTCTGGTCGCTCCACGAACACAATAAGATCGTCCACGGCTATGCCGAGAAGAAGTTCTCCTGCGAGATCTGCGAGAAGAAATTCTACACCATGGCTCATGTGCGGAAACACATGGTCGGTGAGTGTGGTGGGGGCATTTTGTCCTGGGGCTGGGGGCTGTGGGGCCGTCACTCTTACCAGATACGCCACTTAAGGGCATGCCTAGAAAGGACTTTCAGTGTCCTTTCTAGGGCTGATGTAGGGAGACCGGTGCGGTGTCCCTTATTCTAATAAAGCTTCTTGTTCAGCATCAGAAGAAAGATGACTCTTTACTGCAGACAGGTGACGAGCTAGCATTTTTTTTTTTTTGGTCTCCAATACAGCTTTTGATGCAGCTGTCTAATGGCTTGTGGCCGGGTTTACGTGCTCTGAAAAGCAACCCCACCGAAATAACTTTCCTACCTATGGCTCTTTAGCTGGAGTTAGTCAACTAAGGAAGACCTGAGTTTTCTGTGCAATGCTCAGCACAGCCAACAGCTGCGAGTGGAGGCCATAGGATCTTTCCCTTCTCACACTGCTTTGACCGGATTGTCAATTCAGTGACATTTCCAGGGTCTGGGTCTGTTCTTCCGTCACGGAGAAAGGACAGCAGGGGTTGAAGCTACGGGGAGAAAGGGAGAGGAAGCCAGGTTTGATTTGTTGGTTTTAACATATGAGAAAGAAAGACCCAGCTGGACCTGGAGTCCGGGCTGAGGTTGCAAAGCAGATAATTAGCAAAAACCCCTTCTTTATTACTGAGCAGTTTTGACCTGGGTCTATGGAGAGAGGACAGCTAAAGCACCTTCTCTTTCTCACTAGTACAGGGAAGCAGCATTGTAGACAGCTCTGGTACTTTTTTCAGCAGCACTAAAACAGGGTGATGAATGCAAACAGTAAGAGAACAGAGGAGCAGCAAGGTGACATGATGATGACTTCTAGACGGCGCGTGCATTGGTTAAAAAAGATCTCCATTTTATTTTGATCAGTCTGTCCCCCTTGCCCCATCTCTTCTCAGTTCACTCACTCTAACACCATGCAGAAAGTAGCTCCGTTCCTCCTCACCCACGCGGGGCACCTGCATTTCTCTGCTGCTGGTAGTTGGTACTTGCCATGGCAATATACATTTGCCAGCTGCAGTGGTGAGAATGTGTTAAAAGGGTGTTCGTTTTGTCTTTTTAGCAATTAAGGGCAATTTTCCCCAGTGCCTACTGCTGCTCTAGGGGGAATTGGAGGCTGGAATAATTTAGGGTCAATTTTTTTAACTTCAAAGCAGAAGCGTTTCAATTTGGGATGATTCCAGCAGCATACGAAGAGGACTTTCCATGCTGTTGTATGTGGGCTGGAATATGAATGTCCTTCATGTCTCTGTTTTGCAATGATGCTATTTTAGAGTACATCTCAATATAGAGCAACCCTTCGTGTTTTCACATGGGTGATTTCTTTCTTTGGAAAAACAAAAGCCAGCAGAAATGATCGAAGGATGTAGAAAAACAGCAGGCTGAAAGGTTCTTTGTATTGTAATAGCGCACGGGGACTTTAATTGGGCTAGAGCATCGTGTGCTAGGTGCTGTATATACAAGGAACAAGACGGTCCCTACTTCTCAAGGAGCTTCCTGATGGGGGGAGAGGTGGCAGCAGAAGTCAGGCTGGGGGAGCCGAAGGCAACAAACAGCAAGAGGGCTCTGATTTGTGTAATAATTGTGATGGCAAACCTAGTCGGCATGGAGGGTTGTGTGAGCATTGTGCCAGACGGGTGTCCTAAGGAGAGGTCTGAGGGAGGAGGAGAAATTGGTGGGTTACTCAGTTAGCAAACTGTCAGTACTCAGCTGCCCTGGCACACTGGAGCCTAAGCCCGTACTATGCGTCTGTGTGTTGTTTGGCAACTTGGCTACTGCCATCGGGGTGCTGACCAGGTACAAACACAGGCCTCTGCAATGCCGAGTCTGGACAGCCTGGCTTTGGAGTGGTGGGGATGAGCCCCACCACCATTACAGGGTATACACCACAGCTGTATTGCCCCCCTGGCCAGCCCAGCACTGGTGTTGAGAATCAAGCCCAGCCACAGGTCCCAGAGTGTTTCAGAGCTGCAGTGGGGACCCCTGTAAGCCATCTGGTCTTTTTGGGCTTGGGCTTCGTGTAGCACGAGTGAGCAAGTGGTGCCTCATTCCTGGCGGCACCCCAGGCCCGACACATGGCCACGGCCTCTGCCTTGATCCCTGCCCGTCCTGCCTTAACGCCCTTCTTCTGCATTTTCAGCTCACACCAAGGACATGCCTTTCACTTGCGAGACGTGCGGGAAGTCCTTCAAACGCAGCATGTCCCTGAAAGTCCATTCTCTTCAGCACTCTGGGGAAAAGCCTTTTAAATGTGAGGTAAGACCCTTCCCCCTCTTCATTGCTCACAGGGGTGACCATATCTCTGCCTGAGCCTCCCCCCGATCGCACTTGATCCCCTTGATTGTACCCGCTCATGACAAGCCTTCCTCCACTTCACCCTTTCCTGCCCACCTGCTTCTCAGTTCTTATAACCAGTCTTTCTTTGATGCCAAGGGCCCCAAGCCCAAATACAAGCCAAGCCTGAAACAAAGCCCTGAGAAATAATGATAATTAATAGACGTTGCTACCTAGCAGACACCACTCCCCTGTACTGGAGGGGTTTTGAATGAGCAGCAACTTTTGGCTGGAGCATGCTATGGTCCCCGAGTAGCTGGGGTGGGTCACAGATCATTTACCCACTCTACAGACAGGGAAGCTGAGGTCCCAGATGTTGACCGACTTGGCCAGGCTTGCATGAGGACATGGCTGCACTGTGGAAGAAATACATGAGTCCTGCATCTCGGTCCTTGTTTGTAACCCAGCTGTCTGTTACCAGCTTTTCTTTTAAGGCCTTAAGGGCATAGGCCAGCTTGTAAATAGGGCTCATGAGTATCCTGGGGGTGTTTTATTCCATAACTGCTTAATTTTGGGGTCCTTGAAGAGAGCCGGCCGTTCCTGGAGTCCCTACATGGCCTGCAGCCACGGTCCAGTACGATTTGGTGCATCTCTGCCCCGTTCTTAGTGGACAGGCATCTGCGCCACAGAATGAGCAGCTCTAGTCCCTACCTGTACTGTGTCTGTGAGAAGAGGCGCCCAAGGTGTGAACAAGCAAGAAGAGCAAACAACTGTCTTGCCGGCTGAGGCGGCCTTCCAGCTTTGCGGGTGAAGCAGGTTGATAAGGGAACCCAAGGGTAATTCGCACTGCATCTGCCTGTGGCAGTGTTGATCGCTATGGTTTTGGGAGCCCTGAAGCAACGAACACTGCGACCACTCCCCTGCCACTAACTTTTTGGACCCATGGGGAGCCCTTGGGCTTCATGTGTTGGATCAAACCAGTGCCATGACTCGACTCAGCACATGGGGTTGGACTTAGTGCATGCAGTCTGATTTGATGCATGACCCCAGACCTGGTGCATGGGACTGGACCCGGCGTGTGGCTCTGGATGCATTGGTTTGA